GGCGGTGGTGGTGGTGGTAGCAGCAGCAGTGCAAGCCGCAGTAGCAGTTGTCATTACCAGCACGCCTACTGTACCACTATATCCACTATTAATAGCATTGTTGCTACTAGGATTATATTGCTGTTATTGCTTTGTCACTCTTACTACCATTATTGATAATTTCCCTCCTATTTTTTCGTCAATTATTAGTATCATAATTTTTATTCATGTTAACAGTCTTATTCTGTGCCTTTTTGTATTGACACTGAGGCGCGTGGAGGACGTTATGCTTTGTGCTTAGGGTGTAGGTTTTAGGCTTTAGGTTCTAGGGTGTAGAGTTTACGACAATGGCTCCGTTTAGGGTTTTTTTGGGTGCTTAGGGGCGTTTGGGTTTTGAGGTTTCGGGTTTAAGTAGGTTTCGGTCTCGGGGTTCAAGCCGCTGAGGGTCTGGTTACTGCTGTTTGTTTGCATGGGGCTCCCTTTGGGGCATCATCTGAGCAGCAAGAACCCCCAACGGGACCCAGTGTTTGCCAACAAGAACAAGCATAAAGAGGAGAAGTCTCCGAGTAGCACCAACTATGACGAGAGAGTCTCGTGACGTCAGACTATGACTTGAGACTTCTGGAGAAGGTACGGCGCTGTGTGCTGAGTTTGGGGACTTTGGGCTGGGGACCTTCGGGGGATCACGGTCCCCAGGTCCGGATGAGGGGCGACAGGACTATCTGAGTGCATCTTCTAGGTTTCTAGGGTTTAGTGCACTGCAGCTCTGGGACCTTAATAACTTAATATCTTTGCGTGGCTTGCTTCAGCCGGAACCGAAGAATGGCATTGCTCTAAAAGGCGCGGGCTTGTGTGACTTTCGGGACATGTTTGGAGGCCCGGGGCCGATATCCGGGCCTTAGTACTACACCGCGAAGAGGGGAAACACCTTCACTCCAACTCTCATGAACTCTCATCAGCCACTGATTTACCATGAAAGCTTGGAGCTCGTACACAAGGCCGCAAGGACGCTACCGTCATGGGCTCTAGAGGGAGCCTGACTCGGTCCTCTATCTGCGTTATGCCGGGAAAGTCGCTGAAATTCTCGACGGACTTCGGCCCCTGCGCTGGGAGCTGAAGCGCCCGAAAAGTTCTGGCCAAGCAGATGACAAGTGCCTGCTCTGATTCTGCTTTGCTTCTGCCTTTGCTGCAGCAGCCCAGCCTCGTCGTTTCTGCAGCATTCCGCGCAGTGGAAGGGAAAAAGCGTAGACCAGAGCGACACCATGCCACATCACAGCTACAGCGCTGACGATGCTGTGGCGACCGTAGTACGAAGTAGTATGTCGTGTCAGGTTGAAGTTCTGAGTAGTCTTACGCAACGCAGATGCGAAAAGAAACTGTCTGCTGTCCCCGTACGTTCTCGCAATCAAGCTTGCAATCTCCAGTAAATCAAAGGTGGGGCTGGGCCTGCGGGTCTTTTCTCGCAACGTGCAATGCTTGCACATGAACCAACAGCTTGATCTGAAAAGCAACGGAAGGTACAGCTGGGCAGAAGCTGCAAAAGAAGCACATCTGGGCCAGCAAACAGCTTTAAGCCATATTACCCCCCCCAAACCCTCCAGCAGCTGCTCAGAGACAGCTTGAGAAAGCGCACCATGATCGGGTGATGCCGTTGAGCTCATCCTCCAATCTGTAGACGATTACCACATGATCCTGGCAAGTGTGGGGCCGTTGGAAGGTATTGGCCGCGTCTTGAGCCGTTAGATATATTTACTATTCATGATTCTATACTGTACTATACTATACTACGCTATGCTATGCTATGCTCTGCAGTGCTATATGATATATTGTGTTCAGGAATCCCTACAGCAGGTGGGTTGAGATGCCATACAAGCAATTCTTCTCGCCATCATGCAGCCGTTGTTAGAACTGCGCTGACGAAGGGTCCTTGCCATCCACCGTCAGGGTCAGCTGGGTGAACTCCTCTAATTCACCGTAATCTACATCTCCGAACCTCAGACAGAGGGTCCGTCGAAGCACGTAAGCTGCCACGATCTCCGAAGCTTCTGTGGCAGTGGAATGCAGTGGGGGCACTTGGGATGGACCAAGCTCAGCCGACAGGGCGGATGCTCCCGCAGCATCTGGTCGAGGACCTGCTACGATTCACCAAGCCTATGCGACTTCAAGCCATTCCAAGGAAGCACACGGCAGGTCTTTACATTGTGGGTTTGCTGAAGAATCACTGCCGACGAGAACGACTGAACGTGTTGTCGGTTTCAAGAAATACGACTGGTTTTGTAGCCACACGAGGGCTGTTCTTTGTCTGGGCTCCCCGTACAGTATCTATATACATGTGAGGAACCTCTCTCTAGAACATCTTGAAATCGATGAGTGGTTAACAGCAGGGTGGTAAGTTCTAGTTGAGGCCACAAGTAGTCATGAATATCGGAGGGCGGGGAAAGCCATGTTTCTAAGCACCCGTTGAGCCTGCAAGAATCATAATTTGTGTGTCCTTCGAAGTACCTGTTTCACCTTGATGCTGCCTGCAATTATACAAGGACCCTCACAAATTCACAAGGGATCCAGTTTCCGAACATCTCGCAGTCCTTGAACCCTAAGCCCTCCAAATTATTGCATCTGCCATGTTGGCGCAGTGAAGCAAGAACATTTCTGGCCGACCCCGTAGCATCGGAGTTGCAGAAGACTCGGGCTCCGGTGGTTCATCGGACATACTCGGATCGTATTGTTCATGACGACCCTGACCCCTAAGCCCCAAACCATACCCCAAAGTCATAGCCTACATCGCAGCAGGGGCCCCAAAAAGGCCCCAAGCCTCTAACAAAAACGCCAGTCCAGCGCCTTCCCCAAGCCGCCAGCGTTGATCTTCACGTTGCGGATCGGGATGGTGTGCTCGATTGCAGCACAGAGCACCTGGAGCTGAAGGGCGTCGGGCCTTGCGACTTGTGGGCTTTTTAGGGTTTAGGGTTTAAGGTTTAGGGTTTTTCAACAGAATAAGGAACCCCCAAAATGGTATTGGTAATTATCCTACATTAGGATTTTGGGCTTTTGGTGTGGGGTGCAAAGGATCTTGGAGTTTCGGGCTAAGGTCGGGGCATGGGCCTGCATGCATTGGCCAAAATGTACTGGCTTCTCAGAGCTTTCGGAAAAGGAAGGCTGGCGACCGGCACTGAGCAATGGTTTCCGCAATGCATCGGAATGTTTCTTACGTCACGGAGCTAGGTTCCACAAACATGGCTCGGCACACACCTTCGCCGTGTGCCGAAGCTGCGATTCTATCGCTTTGCTCGCACGGCACTGTGCAATTCCTACGGCAAACGTTTCGTCGACCTTTAGAGGCCGGGCATGGCCGGGCTACGTTGCATTTCTATCATACGGCACCTCTTTTGCATGCCGAACATGAAAGTTTGAAAGGAGTTCACATCAGAAGAGTTGGAACTCCAAGCAACATGTCGGCGAACTTCAAGTTTCGACCACGGAACTCTCAAGATCTACCCCATCTTTGACATGGAAGCGAGGACCGCGCGTGCTTTGGAGTCAGCCGTGCGAACTCGCTGATGGGCTCCGGCCTGCCAATGCCACCGCTTCATCCTAAGGGCCCCCCCCTACACTAGCCGTCCAGATTATCAGGATCCTTCTATCTTGGGCCTCCATGGGGCTCCCACGTTCTTTGAAGCTCCCCAATGGTAGTTCAGGGTTTAAGGTTTAGGGTTTAGTCAAGAAAACCGAATGTGAGTTCTTTGTCACAGGGTCCTTGTTCGAACCTGCTTCGCGCTCTGGAATTCCAGGGGGCGCCTTATTGCTGCTTCACTACTATATATGCTTCTGCACTCTGCGTTCTGGGCCCCCACCCCGCCGTCCCCAAATGGAACTACTTTTCGGGGCCTTCTACAGTTACAACTGGGTTTGGGGGCACAGTATACCGCGATTGTGACAAGGAACCCTGAGCCATCCTCAGCCTCTACAGCAACAAGCTCTTCACTGTGGGGGCCCTAATTCTAAACCGGCCCTGACCCACAAACCGTGACATCACTTCCTCTCTTCTCGTGGCCCCGCCTTGTTGGCCTCTTCACGATGCTCAGGTACACACTGCTTCTGCAGTTCAACAGGAGAACCTGGACATCTTCGGATAGGACGGTTGTGCATACCAAGCCTCTCACGAGCGACCTTCATCGCAATACTAGCCTGCTTCAACTATTTCTACGATATCACTGTAGCTTGCGCAGTCTCCACCAGGGCCACGGCGATGAAGGGGATCGCCAATCCGATGACGGAAGCACCTGGATGCAAGAAGCAAAGTGCCAGTGAAGGAAGGCTTGGGCCGTCTTGAGATGCTCGACACGGAGCAACACTAGAATTCGGCATGGGCTCCGGCTTGCGGTGAGGATCAATGCGAACATGGAGCGCTGGCAAACATCCTGCACAGCAAGGTATCTGCAAAGCACTTGCAGATGTGGCTCGGTCCTCCAAGGGAGGGAGCTCCGCACCCTTGCAAAGAAGCCACCTTGGAACAGCATCCTCTATTTAGGGTCCAACATTCTGCGATGTAGCCTATTACTTGCAAGCTTGACAAGGGCTGAGTCACCGACTGCTCTCCCATTTCCTCGTCCACCGTCTCCTCACAAGAGAAACTTCTTGGATTCGTGGATCATGAACACAACATGATTCGCCATGATTTCCTTGCCTCATGTGACACTCCAGCAACTGAGCCTCCGGCAATCGGCGCAAATATTGAGACCTTGGATATGCGTGCACCCTCGTCATGAGGAATGACATAGTTTAAGGGATGGATCCGCGCTACTGGCACGGTGGGACAGAATCAGCAGAAAGGCCCTGGCATGGACGGCCTCCAAGCCACCAGGTACCAGCAGAAGTGACTGGTTCCCCTGAGCATCCTCACGGATGAAGACACTTCGGAAAGGGCTAACTTGAACGTGAACACGGAGACTGCAGCAAGAGAGCAAGAGGCTGGTCGCACTGGCATCGCCTTCACGGTGTAGAAATACAGTGTAAGATTGTAAAAACCGGCGGTCCACAACGGCCATCTTGCTGGGGTGAAGCAGGTCCACGTATGCCTGTCTCTGCAGACTGCAAACCACAGCCCCTTGAAGGAGAGAAAGACTTGCTGTTGCTCCGACGAACGAGAAGCCTTCTACTCGAATGCAGAACACCGGAACCCTTCCTCCGACAAAAACCTGTGCCTGGCCATCTTGGTGCGCAACTCCAGGCGGCCTTGGGCAACGAAGGCAGGCTTTGGACACGCAGACAAAGAATGGGCATGGTCCAGGCCACATCCCTTCCCCTTGAGCCTTGCAACAGCTGGACAAACCAAAGAGCGTCAAGATCAACCTGAAATACTGCGTGAGGAAGCGGCATCGTGTATCGGGTTGGCTCTGCTGAAGGCGACTCGGAGATGGAGAGGACCTTGGCGCACGACTTCCGCAGTGGAATCTTGAGCGTGACGCCGGAGGCAGGTTCATGTTCGGGAAGAATTTGGAATGGGATGTGGTTACGGAATCTGCACCACAGAGCAGTGCTGCTTTCCTCGCCCAGCAACCGCCGCCTCAACACTCAGCATGAACCGAACTGGAAAGCGTCTTCCTAGGGCCCCACAATCAACATAGCCAATGGTGCCGCGGCCTGTTTATCATCCTCCTGGCAACGTCTGAAGATGCATGTCCAAGTGTGCAACATCCCGGTTGCTTTACAACTGCCGTGGACTTCGCAGCAAGCCCCAAAAACCTTCCGAGCTTCAGTCGCTTCCCGACCGCTTAAGAATGCAGGAACGCCTCCTGCCACCTTCATCACCTTGCAAAGCGCTGGCTGTGGACTTGGCCCTCTAAGCCCGTCCTGCTCCAGGAGCTTCCAGAAAGCTATCTGTTCTCCCGAGGCCTGGCCATAAGCCTGCAAGGGCCACCCGACTCAGAGCGGTTTTCATAGGAGCGCCTGGCGACAACCCTCCCCGTGCCTTCGCCTCCACGGCGGTGGCGCTGCGAAGGCCGGGGCAAGAGCGGCCTAGGCTTTTGACCGATCCTGGGCCTATGCAGAGTAAATATCCTCGCCTGGTCTCTGGTGATGAAAAGCTCATGCTGCTTTCTTGAGTCTGCGTGTATGTGTGTGTGTCTCTCCGTGCACGCGCCGTCAAGACCTAAGGACAGCGCTTCAAAATAGCCGTCGCCTTTGAGCCCGATACCACCAAACCGAAACCCCATCTCCGGCATAAGTCCGCGACGGATCCGAATCAGCGCCCGACTGTAGCGGAAGACCTTCGTGCCAGACTTCTTCACATGGGAGAGATTTGTCGATGGCCAACCCGGCTCATGCCGAATATGTTTAAATGGCGGTAAATCTCAAAGCTGGAAAACAAGAATCTGGCCAAATCACCCACGGTGCCAAAACGGTTACCTTTACGACTGTATCCATTAAACCGGCTCCGATTTCCGCACCACACAACCGTGTGTTTATGCTTACTTATATCTGTGTATCCCTTTTTGTATCTATTGTATTTACTTATCTGCTTGTTTTTTGATTTGTCTATTCAAAAGACTCTGCATTTGTTTCTTGAAAATGCCAGTCCGTCCGTCAGTCAGTCAGTCAATCAGTCAGTCACTTAGTTGGCTAGGTTAGCTCTGTACATAATATGGAAAACCACACTTGTTTATGTATGGAGGCATGTGATGGCATGTGCGTCACCGACACGTCTTGCCATTTGTACATTGCAAAACGATCCCTCCTTGCCCTGCCTGACTGGTCCGGTCGAACATCGGCTCCTCGCACCAGTGGGGCGGAGCTGCCTCCATCAGGCGCGCCTTGCAGCGAGATCTCAGGGCATCGGGTGGTTTAGGGTTTAGGGTTTTAGGGTTTAGGGTTTAGGATTTAGGGTTTAGGAAACAGCTCAGAGCTTAGCTGGGGGTTCAACCAGCGACTGCATGAACACCCACACCACTTACCGTCACGACTGCCACAGGCTCCGAAGCAGAGCCCTCTGGGTCGTCGGCCCGCAGCTGCACTGGGCTCGGAGGAAGTGCTTGCGAGTCGAAGGCCTGTCTTTCTCACACACAGGCAGATGAGTGTGTGTATGCATGCATTGAGCAGGTTGAGAGAGCAAAGGACACGTGGAGTTGACATAGAGCCAGAGACCAGCAGAGCGAAAATGAAACGTACGTCCATACTTGTCGAACTAAACGCCTGTCTGTGCACATGCGCACATATGCATACACGTGTATACTATACGTGTGTATGCGTGTGCACATACGTATGTGTGTATGTATATAT